GCACAATCGTAAGATCGGGACAATACGAAGGAATACGGCGAGCAGCTACAAGAGTAACGGCATGTAGTTCTTCTCGCGAAAGGCACCACGCGGCCAATGAAAACAGATGTCTTTTCACTGGAGAGGGACCACAGCCACGGGTAATACCACATTAGGCTTCCCACTCAGGTACCGCGGACAATTGTACGCTGGCAGCTCACATTACTCCCCCCACAGTACCTATAAGGCCACCCGTATGCAGGGGAGGAAAGACTGCAAGTGGAGACGACGGAAGCCACCCGCCCGCCTTCTAGCTTTTTCAAGACGACCACCTCGGAAGACACGGATGCTGCCTTGAAATATGGGGCCAGAAGAAAAGATGTGTGAGCCTTGATATATGTGCCAAGATCAGTCTGCGAAGAGGCATGTTTGATCAACTGGCAGCCTGATTGAGGCTGTACACGGCAGCTCGTGGGGATAGTAGAGGATAGGCCTTGACACGATGGGGTCCGCACAAAAGCCTTGGGAAAAGTGGAGACGCTAGCACCAATTATATCTGAGGCGTCCTACATGTTTTAAAGAAGACCAGCGTCACGTATTTAGGTGCGAGTACCATCACTAGCGCTACGACGTTGGTCAGTAGTATGTTTCGTAAGAGCAGGAGCTGTCAACACGCATCACCAATGTAGAGCCATCTCAACAAACGTAATTCTTTGGCTGCAGGCAGCGACAAGTCTATTAACCTAAAGAGATGAAGCCAAGGCCATATATGCTCGTGTGCTGATGCCAAACAACAAGCAAAGCACATCGTATACATTACTTCTATATGCATATATGCTTTCCATAGTGGTAGAAACGCCAGTATAGATTGTGGTCGATGCCCAAACTCCGCGTATAATGCGTCGATGATACGGATCCAGAAGGTGAAAAAGTGGGTATATAGAAATACAACGGTGTTGAAGTGAAGCGCAAAAACAGTGGTGCGATCAAACAAATTCGTGCTATTGTGGTGTCGTCATGGTCCTTGAGAGATTAGAGCGTTGTGGCATCGCATCTTTCCGTAGCTGACGAACGACTGCTTCGAGCTTCCGTCGTTCTTCTTGTTCCGCCTGTATATCGTTAGTATACCGTAGTACAATGATATGGCGTTACTCACTCTCAATGCCTTTAGGCCCTCCGCTGTTCGATCCCGCATCATCTTCCTGAAGTCTTCTCTCAACATGCGAATGCTAGTCGCACCCATGTCAAGCTGAGCAGCAGCGCCATTCGGCATGCCTGGGCTCCTGACTCCAAGCCACTTGACCTTCTCGTCACTGAGCTCGCGCTCCAGGGCTTCCTTGTCGTCGCGGAGCTTGTCGATCTGCCCTTCGAGGACTTCACGGTCCTTCTCGTTCTGAATAGCATCACGAGTGAGGGCTTCGTACTCAGCAGCCATGCCTTTGAGCTCGGCCTTGAGATTGCGCTCAGATTGGCGGGCCTCAGCTTCGGACTGAGAGGCAACGTCTTGGACCTTGCGAAGCGCTTCCAGTTCACCGAGGAGCGCCTGGTTCTGCTCGGCGAGCTCATCCAACTCCCTCTTAATGGCGGGATTTGCAGCCGAATCAGCAGCACGTTGTGCGCGAGTACCGTAAGCGCCGTCAAGCTCTGCTTTGGCGAAGGTAAGCTCAGTGGTGAGACGAACGATCTCGCCTTCGAGGCTGCGGAACTCTTCTTCCTTTGCGTTCAGAGTGTTGGTGGCGTCCAAGGAGCGCGCCTCTGCCTCCTCCTTCTCAGCCGTCACCGCCTGTAGAGCTGCTGTAACCTCTTGGATCTTCTGCGCAGAGGTAGTTAGTTCGGCTTGGATTGTTGCCGCTTCACTACGGGCACTGTCTTGAGCGTCCCTGAGTTCTCTCTCTAGCTTGAGAGCTCGTTCCTGTGCATCCCGAACCTGAGCTTCGTAGCCAGCGGTGCGATCCTCTGCCTCTCTTGACGAGACGTTGTACGCGGTGTTACGCTCTTGGTGGTCCTTCAGTTCTTCTTCGAATGTAGCAGCGCGTTTCTCAGCCTCTTGCATCTTGCTTTGGAAGTTTACAGCCTGCTCTTGCACGTCCCTTAGTTGATTTTCGTACGCGACAGCACGTTGTTTGGCCTCCTTCAACTCAGACTCGAAAGCCATCACTCGCTCTTGAACGTTGATGAGCTGAGCCTCCAGACCTGCGTTTCGCTCCTGCGTCTCGCGCAAAATCTGCGAGTCATTCTGAATCTTGTGCTCATCGAACTGCTGTAGCTGCTCCATTGCACGCTCGAGCTCACCCTCCATCGACTTCTTCTCGGACCTTGCACTGAGGACTTGCGTGTTGAGTCGCTCAAATTCTGCCTCTTTCTGCGCATCGGACTTGCTGTTTAGCTCACGTTGCTGCTTGATTTGGCGCATTAGGACGGACTGCTTGTCTTTGAGACTGGCTGCCCGACTGGATAGCCATTGGACCTTGGAAGAGAATGCAGTAAGTGAGTATGTCTCGTTGGCGTTGTAGTCCTCATCCGGCGAGAGTTGCTCATTGGCATCAGGGTCTTCAGAGAGTAGTCGGCGTCGTTCACGTTTCCGTTCACGTGCCTCTTCTTCTCCAGCCAGGATCATTTGCCAAAGGCCCATGATGGTAGTCTCGTACTTCTCTGCCTTTTCCGCAGCTTCTGAACCATCACTGACGGTGACAGGAGCCCTGGAGCGGAGCTCGTTGATTTGCTCGTTCATCGCATACTGAATCTGCTCAAGGTTGTAGAAAGAGTCTTCCATATAGTTAAGCTGTTCGGTGGAGCCACCACCCGTGATAGCGGGTGGGGGTGGGAGTTTGTCGGCCTGTTCACTATCGGATCGAGATATAACCGCGTACAGCTGATTGTTGATGCCCTCAAGACGGCCCTCGACTTCGTTGAGGGTGTGTCTTGAGTTGTTGCGGATGTTCATCTGTTCAGCGCTGATGCTGCGAAGACCTTGGTCAAGGAAATCGAGCTGGCGGTCCAGGGTTGTAGCGTCGGGCGTTCCTTCGAGAGCCAATGGCGGTAGTGAAAAGTCGTTATCGCGCTCGGGATTGGCCTCGATGATGAGTGATCTTATACGCTCGTTTATCTCTTGGAGTCGTGCGGCAGTCGCGTTCAACGCTTGGTCTTGACGCTCCGATGCAGCTGTCAGGTGTTTACCGCTTTGCAGCACGTTCATAAGGTTGTCGAGATTCTCTGGGGACCTGTAGAAGCTCCGCTCATCGAACTCGCCTCCACGAATACCGCCCAGTCTGCCGTCTTCGTAAGTGTTTAGGCTCGCGGGGCTGTCTGGTCTCCGGAAGCGGTCCTCTGATAGCTCGGCATCGTCTTCACGGTGCTTGGGGCCCTTGTGCGTAAGCTGAAGTACAGCGGCAGTGTGCATCAGCAGCTGCATATCGATCATGCGCATGCGAGACTCAATCTCCAAGCACTCCCGTATAAACTCCTCAACCTTCCTGTTGCTTGATTCAAGGCCCTCCTGGTCCTTGGGGTCATATTCCTGCACGGCGTTACTGCCTTTGCTGCTTTTGTTGCTCTTGCTGCTCTGGCCGCGCTTGTGTCCGGCTTTCTTCTGGGCCAGTCGTCCCAGTGAGCGTGTCGCATCGCGAATCTTGGTCTCAGACTCTAGCTTCCGCCTGACAGTACCCAGCCGTGTGTCCAGACCCTTCTGCTCCTGCTTGAGCGCTTCTACCTCCTCCACGCTCAGGATATCAAAATACTGGCTATCTCCAATTGCCGTCTCAACGAGCAAATGCATGGCCACTGGGTCGGTGTTCAGGGCGTCGGAGCTTCGCTTGCCCGAGTTGCGAGGTGTGTACATGCCATTCTCGCGGATCGTCTCCCTGCGGCCGTCTACGAAGACTTCTGGGGGCGGGATGAAGGCACTGGCACCGAATCGTGGGGAGATCTGGTATGCCATGGGGAAGAAGCTCGGCGATGCAGTGCCATTGATGCCTGACTGGTAGTTTGAAGTCGGTGAGGGAAAGTCATAGAGGGCGCGCGGGCTGAGTGTGTCCCCGACGTAGGGGTACTGGGTGCGTAAGCCATTGCTGGTCATGGTGGCTCTGGGGCGACGCGGCGACAAGACAAAGGGCGAGTCGGCGCGGTGGTGAGCGGTTGAGGTTCGGATGGAAAGCGCGACGGGGGCGCAAAGCAATAGTACTCGCGCAGCCAGCGGGGATGGTTGGCGCTCACGGCGAGCAGCTCGACATGGTCAATGGGGAACTTGGAAACTTTGGGTCAGGAGAGGCGTGCGAGCGTGCAAGCAGCACCAATACAGGCGCTACTCTGGTAGGGGATCGAGGTCAAGGGGTGACCGCGATCCCTGCAATTCACTAGACCCGCCGGTCTGAGCTCAGGGTTCATGCGCGCTTGGAGGCATCTCTCCCCACCATCCCGCGCGACTCGCCCTCGTATTCGCTGAGATGCGCTGAGTAGTCCTGACGACACCATACTGGCGTCAGGTAGTGTGTGCCCCGCGCACGAATCTTTCTTCGCAATGCTTCAGGATCCTTCATCTGATTAGCCATCTTTTCAACGCATTCAACAAACATACGCCAATCGCCCCGTTCCAAATTCGGATCTGCACTACTCCGCTATCGATAACGTCCGTGTCAGTCAACAACATGAGCGCACGCGCAACATACACCAAAGACCAAATAACAAAATACTTTGCCCGCCTGGGGTTGTCGGAACAAAAGAGAAAATATGACGTGGCTGGTCTGGATCCCAACGACGCATTCGAGTACCTTGCACTACTCCAAAAGCTGCAGCTAGCAGCGGTACCTTTTGAGAATATAACCCTGCATTATTCGGCCCACCATTCGGTGTCTGTCCATCCTGAGGAATTATTTAGGAAGATCATTGGCGATGACAATGGACGTGGTGGGTATTGCATGGAGAACAACAGACTCTTCGGCACGCTGTTGAATTCGCTGGGATTCAATTTGTATTCTGGTGGCTGTAGAGTTTGGGCCGGTGACAGTTGGACCGGTTGGTCCCATATGGTAAACTTTGTCACTATCGGTGACACCAAGTACCACGTCGATGTTGGCTTCGGGGCTGACGGGCCTGTCGTCCCAATGCCTCTTGAGCGCTCGGGTACCATCCAAAAGCACATTCAACCTGCGTCGGCCCGTCTCCAATGGCGCAACATCCCTGGGAATACTGACCCAAACCAGCGCCTCTGGGTTTACGAATACCGAAGAAATGACGATAGTGACTGGGAGATCAAGTACTCGTATAGTGAGTTGGAATTTCAGCCACAGGACTACGCGATGATGAATTATTTCACTTCTACTAGCATGAAGACTTTCTTCACGCAGATGGTCGTAGCTGATAAGAAGATTATGGGCGATGACGGGGAGCTAGTAGGGAAGTTGAGCCTGGCGGCCAAGTCTTTGAAATGGAATGTAAAAGGGGAAAAGACCAAGGAAATCGAGTTCAAGAGCGAAGAGGAAAGGATAGATGCGCTTGAGGAGTACTTTGGTATGAAGTTTGGAGATGCGGAGCGCGAGGGCATCGCGGGACTGCCATCAGAAATCAAGTAGAGAAAGCACTGAACGTTGAGAATTGTTGATTGCTTGCATGTCCCTACAACTGCCGTATATGCTGTGATCCTTTCGCAGCACGATGTAGTCACTATTGGGTATGTAATATACTGTGTAGGTATGCCAGTTCCGCTTTCGACGCGGGAGAAGCTCGCATCGCTTAGATGAATCGTTGCTCGCACTGCCAGTGGTTAGCACCCGTTGTTCATCCAGCATCTCCGTACCCACCCTCCATGGGTTGTTGAGCTCGAAGCCTTCCGGAGCAACCGGCTTGTCTGTCTGTCCGCGCATGAATCCGGTCAGTCGGCGGTCGCGCTCCATCACTGGGGTCTCGTAAGTAAATCGCATGAGGTCATCGTGAAATGGTCGTACTTTGCTGTACTGAAGTTAGCATCTTTCCAATGCGCCTGGGCTTCCGGAAACTCACCCTGTCCCATGCATCGATACCCCTCCTTGTCTTCTTTCCTCCGTTCTGCATCTCCTTGAGCTTTCCGACAGACACGGCGCTGAATGCGAAGAACTAGACCCTCATTAGCACTCCCTCGCCCTCAGGCGCGCCAATTACTTACGCCCGTCATAATGGCGTAGGGCAGCAGAGCCTCGAATGGGACACCCATGATTGCGGTAGTGTACTTAGTCGCGGTGGTGTTGCGGGGTGGGTTATCAGTGACGGCTGGTTGGAGGTGCGTCGGCGTGAAGTGAGGTGCGGCCGTGCGTGCATCCTTGGCAGCGACCCCGACCTACGCAAAGGGTGTCATTTCGAAGGATGCCGTTACAGGCCCACGGTGTTTCCTGACGAGCGACAATTATTCTCGGTGTCGCACTGAGCCACACTTTCATACGAACCGCGAAACCTGATACTTTCAGTCCCCATTTCCCCGGAACAATTGCCTCCGCTGAGGTCGCGCACCTCCACCTTCCCCACAGCCACGGCCAACGCGACTACGAGCCCGAGACACCTCACTCTGGTCATTCACGGCCTGTAGAAGTCATTTCACGATACTACTTGGTGAAAACACGCGGTGGACGGATTCACGGGTCACAACAACGCGTTAGGACACAGGCACGACGCGCTTACCAACCACCGCATGAGAGAGCCTCCGCGGCTGCTACCGCTCGCGCGACCGATGTTCTAGGACTCAAACTATACTGGGACTGCGACAGTGGCTTATCTTGCCTCTAAGGTGGCCTCTGCCGTCAACTTCGCCATGGCAGAGCTCCTGGGCCAGCCTGCGAGCAACGCCGAACTTGAAGACATTGATGCCGATGGCGAGTATGAGATGGATGATGTAGAGTATGAACAAGCCCCGGCTACCGAGAACATGCCCGATGCCGAGGGTCATACGACCGATGCTGAAGGAACGGACATGGACGCCGAGGGCGAAGAGGATGATGCTGAGGGTGAGGACGATGACGCTGAAGGTGAAGAAGATGACGCCGAGGGTGAAGAGGACGATGCCGAGGGTGAAGATGTGGATGCTGAGGGTGAAGAGATAGACGACGACGAGGATGAAGCCGAGCCAGTTGGCGCTGTCAAGATCGCCCAACGTCGTCCTCAATCATCCGACGAGGAGGAAGATTACGAGGGCGATGATGTTGCAAGAGATTCATCCGACGCCAAGTCCAGCAACAGCGACGAGTCGAGCAACGCCGATTCTGAAGAGGAGAACCAATGGCAGGCGAGTGAAGATGGTGAAGAGGACGAGGTCATCAAGTCAGCCAACCCCAATATCTGCGTGTAAGTGTATCCTAAATATTGGAAAGTAAAACCGAAACTGACCAAGCAGATACTGCGGACTAGACGAGGATAACGATCCAAGCCCGGATTTCGAAGAGTCCCTCTCATGTACTTTGTGTGGAGACCATGGTGTGTGTTAGTAGTAAGAATGTTTGAATTTACTTGTTCGGTGGCTGACATGTTGTTCCTGCAGCACATCGGCAATGCGCCCGTAAGGCTGGCACGCTAAGTTCCGATGACGGTATGTTATCTTGTCAGCCCGGAACCGCGCCTTACTAACGATGAGTAGATGCAAAGCGTTGGCGCTGCCCTGACTGCACTCAAAATTTCGGAACTGAGGAAGAAGAAGAGGCTGAACGGCCCTCTACTTCTACACGCCGGAGACGTTCATCCCTGAACAAGTTGACCAAAGAGTTGCTGCCTTCACATCGTGGGGTTGACCCCGAAGGACATTCAATATTTAAAGAGCTAATTCTTCCCGATGAATCAGCAGATGGATTACGTTCACTGCGCAAACGCAAGACTTCACAAGAGGAGGAGGCACCGGTGCCTTCAAGGCAAACACGGAAAAAGCGGAGACCTTCTGAAGCGACCAACTCAGATGTCGAACCATCAGTCCCTGCAGTCTCACCCAGACCACCATCGAGGAGCATACGAAGTGCTCGTAGCGTCATGACGGATGGTCACGAAAGTGGAGGCGAAGCAGAGCAGAATGGGTCAGAAGCTGGTCGGCTACGTCCAGCAAGGGCGCGTCGCGGGCAACCTAAGAGAAACGACAAACGCCCACTTGCCTGGATCGAAGAGGCTCAGGGCCAGAGCTTGATCATCGCTTTCCATCTCAACAACGAGAAAGTCCAACAGATTGTCACGTCTAAGCCTAAGAAGAAGATTCAGACTCTCACGATTGAACAAGAGCGGCAAGAGAGACGGCGTGAGCGGGATAGAGAACGTCGCGAAAGGAACCGCCGGGCTGCACAGGCTGCGCGAGAGTCACCAGAGGTCCTGCACTACCCAACGATACATGTCCACCACGCCACACCGTTTCCAGGCTTCATGGACAAAGAGCTCGACGAAACCAAGAGCAAACCCTACGGCGGCGTGCTTTCCGAAGCTGATGCTGATACTTCCAAAACATACCCTTCGCCTGCTGACAGGAAGCGCTTTGACGACGCCCGTATCAAGGCCGAAGAAGAGTGGAAAGCGAAGCAGGCCGCACTCTATCCTCCCGAGCCAGCGCGCTCACACAAGCAAGCAGCCACTGCGAGCAAGATCAAATGCGTCAACTTTGGCGGATGGGAAATTGACACTTGGCACGCTGCACCATATCCAGAGGAGTACAGCAAAAATAGGGTGCTTTACATATGCGAGTTCTGTCTCAAATACATGAACTCGGACTACGTCGCATGGCGACATAAGGTAAGTATCCTGATTTTTTCTCTTGGTCGTATACTGACAGTCATAGCTCAAATGCCCAGCGAAGCACCCTCCAGGCGACGAGATCTACCGCGACGGGAAATACTCATTCTTCGAGGTCGACGGCCGGAAGAATCCCGTGTACTGCCAGAATCTCTGTCTACTTGCCAAGCTATTCCTCGGTTCCAAGACGCTCTACTACGATGTCGAGCCCTTCCTATTCTACGTCATGACTGAGAACGACAATTTCGGCTGTCATTTTGTCGGCTATTTCTCGAAAGAAAAGCGGCCCAGCTCGCTCAACAACGTCTCATGTATTCTGGTACTTCCGATTCACATGCGCAAAGGATACGGGCAGTATCTAATTGAGTTTTCCTACCTCCTCACCCGTGTGGAGAGAAAGACTGGAAGTCCAGAAAAACCGCTCAGTGACATGGGTTTGGTGAGTTATCGAAAATACTGGCGGCTCGTTCTATGTGAAGAACTACTCCAACAAAAGGCTGCGATCAGTATATCAGCCATTTCAGACCGCACGGGGATGACACCGGACGATATTGTGTCTGCTCTGGAAGGCTTACGAGCTCTTGTACGTGACCCTGTCACGAAGAAGTACGCGCTGCGCCTCGACTTGAACTACTTCAAGTCGTACATTGAGAAGTGCAACGCTGCAGGCAACCCAAAGATCAACCCCGACTGTCTGATATGGACACCGTACGTCATGGGTCGTTTGGGTCAGTACGAAGATGGACCTGCGTTGCAAACTGTGCAGCAGCGCGATGAAGTAGAAGAGGAGGAAAAGCCTGCGCCTGAGGAGGGTGTGCAGATGGAGATGGCGAAGACTAATGGCACTGGTAATGATGTTGAGACAGCCATACCCACCATTACCGCTGAAGACTCCGTCAACGGTGGTTCACCGGCTCCTGGTACCCCACTCGCAAACGGCTCTACTGTTGCTCTTGCTGGCTCGCATATGGATGAGCCGGCAATCCCACCGTCACGATACGAGATCTTCCCTCCCATACCCGGGCAACCCTCGCAAAGACGTCGACCAGGACGGCCATTTGGATCACGGCGAAGAACAAGCACTCCAAACCGCGTACGAAACACTTCACTGTCCATTCACACCGCACCAGTATCGAAGATCCAACTGTCGCCTAGTAGAGGTGCCAAAAATCTCATGTCACCGTCCGCAAACGGCGCCCTCACACCAGGCACCATTTCCCTGCGTAGAACACGAAGCCGACTTGGTGAAAGCGTCACGAATGGCGAGGATGTCGAAGACGGAGGTGCCGTCAAAGCCGTTGCCGTCAACGGGCGGAGAAGCACACGCAGCTCCGCCAGTTCCAGAGGAAGCATCGATTTCAAAGGCAAGGGAAAAGCTTTGCCCATTGAAGAAGAACACGATGAAGACATTGATGCGGATGGCGATTACGACGAAGAAGAGGGTGATATGGACGTTGATGCTGAAGGCGAGGAAGACGATGACATTATCATGCAAGATGCGTAATTGGTGCTGACTGTTCAAGCTCTCCGCATTATTATTTTTTGTCGGTGTCGATTGACCCACTTACGGCAAGGGTCTGATATCTTTCTGTTCAGCACAAAACCCTGCGTTTTCAATTCGTGTATCATTATGTTCTTTTACTTTAATTTTTGGCATGCATAACGGAGATACCTTGGGACCGGATAGCGAGGGGCGTACATCATCAATTCAATACATAATCCAGAGGGACTATCTTCTATGCCTCATTTTACCATGATCCTATGCTAGGCCTTCACACCACATACATGTATCTATCGTCGTTCGTCAATCGTCGCTGGTGTTTATTGTTGTGATGGCCCAAGGATAGCCCAGGATGACGTCCCCTCGGTCCTCTTTCGTCCGAAATTCGTAACCCTCACCTCCGCTCCTCCTCTTCCACTCTTCCACCTCAATAGATCTTCACTTTACCCGGTGCCCCACACGCGACATCTCCATACATCCGCATTCGACGCGCTGTGTTTTAACTTCATATACGTCAATTGCAGGCTGGCTTGGCGGCGACAAGGGTCGCGGAATCTGCTATTACTCCATTTGGCCTGCGTTTACCCGGGTAAACAGCATGCAGGCTATGCGATCTTCACTAGCGCGTATAGAACAACGCGGGGGATGTGCAGATGCAGTGACGTTAGTGGAATCGTAACCCGATAATAGAGTAGGGTATAACTAACAGTGGGTGCAATGCTCTATCTGCAAAGTTGTACACGCCGGATCTCGATATTTGATACGGATTCTTTATTTCTAATTGATTGCCATGCTATTGGTCACCTATTCCGTGGTGGTGATTGCAACGGCCTTGGCTCGAGTAGCAACTGCACAAGCTTTCAATTCCAGGTGGTTTAATCCCATCTTACCTGGTGTAGGCTAAGCATTCAGATACACTTCCAAAAAGAAGCTTAATTGATATTATTCAGTTCCATCCTGATCCGAGCTGCATATTCCATCAGCTTGACGAGACATTCTACTGTGCTTCGAGTAGTTTCAATGTATTCCCTGGTATCCCGATTCATGCTAGCAAGGATTTGACAAATTGGAGACTTGTCGGTATGTTGCATTTCGCTTTTCCAATAATGATTTGAAACTCAAACCACAACAGGGCATGCTTTGAACCGGGAGAGTCAACTGCCTGTCCTTGCAGAATCTATTGGGTCTACGAGTGGCATCTGGGCGCCTGCATTGCGCTTCCACAATGACACATTCTATCTCTTGACTACTATGGTGCATGACAAGAGGGCTGACAACGACTCTTCGAGGTGGGATAACGTACGTTTACGTCACGGCTCGTTGAACGAGATGCTAATGTTTCCAGATCATCTTCTCGACGACAGACTTATGGGATGAGAGCAAGTGGACTGATGCTATACACCTTGACTTTGAGGGTTACGATATCAGCCCGCACTGGGATGACGAGGGCAACTCGTATGTTGTTGGAAGTCATGCATGGAAAGTAGCGTAAGTATCGTTCAGCGTTTGAGCATATGTAAATTATGCTGATAAACGCAGCTACGGTATTCACATCAATCGTGTCGATCTCACGACGGGAGAGGTACTCGGCGACTGGACTAATCTATGGAACGGTACAGGCGGTATTGTAAGTGTACCTCATCTGGTCATATAAGCCACCACTCATCGTCTCGTCTAGGCACCGGAAGGACCACATATCTTCAAGAAAGACGGCTGGTACTATTTGATGATAGCAGAAGGTGGAACCGGCCTACTTCACATGGAAACGATAGCGCGATCAAAAGATCTCTATGGACCATATGAACCGAATGCCGCAAATCCAATATTGACCAACGCAAACACCACTGAATACTGTAATGTCCCCTGATATCGCATATGTATCATCATCTGACAGATCACAGTTCAAGCTGTAGGCCATGCCGACCTCTTTCAGGACGCACAAGGTCAATGGTGGGGCGTAGCGTTAGCTGTCCGCTCTGGCCCGGAATGGGTAACCTTCCCCATGGGCCGAGAAACCGTCCTGTACAACGTTACATGGGAAGCCGGCTCATGGCCTGAACTGCAACATCCAGTCCAGGGCGAGATGCGAGGATGGTCACTTCCTGGCATCATCCAAAACCTACCAGGTGACGGGTAAGTCAGAGGACCTCCAGAAAGAACTACTTGCTAACACACAACAGCCCCTTTGTAGATGAAGGCGACAACAACATCAAGTTCCGCCCAAACACCTCGATTCCACCCCACTTCGTCTACTGGCGTCCACCTATCACAGAGAACTATGCTATTTCCCCACCCGGCCATATCAACAGCTTGCGTCTCAAGCCCTCAAGCCTGAATCTTACAGGCATCGATGGAAACTCACCCGGTCCAGGGAGTCAAACGTTCATATCCCGGCGTCAAGTCGACACACTGTTCAATTTCGCTTTCGACCTAGACTACACCCCTAGTGCCCATAACGAAGAAGCGGGAATAACACTTTTCTTGACGCAGAACCACCACGCACGAATGGGCGTCGCGATGCTCCCTCTAGCCAACGACAGCAGTAAACTAGCACCACACTTCCACTTCCATGCTATATCCTACATTCCCGTTCCTGACGACATAGTCGTCCCTGTGTACGCCTCCTGGCTTAACAAACCGCTCACGCTGAGTCTGAGAGCGGTGAACGTCACACACTATGCTTTTGGTGCCGGACCCGCTGACGGCAGTGTACCTATCCAGGACTTCGCATATGTGGGTGGTGATATCATCTCCTGGGGCTTCACGGGTGCGCTGGTAGGGACATATGCGACGAGCAATGGAGGAAATGGGACAACGGAGGCGTATGTTACGAATTGGAATTATCAAGGCTGGGGGCAGGTTAGGGAGAATTGGAATGGAACTGGAATCTACTGAAACACACGATTAATCGAATAGAAGCGACAGTAGCCATTTGTTCCAAAAGCGAGTATACGTTGCCAATTAACTCCACTGAGCTGTTCTCTTTCTTATGGGAATAGGTTGTCTGGCTCCTTTCATGAACATGAACTCCTGGGCTTTAGCCTCTTACGTCCAGGTTCGAGTCTCGCACAACATTCTGTAGTACAGAAAGTATCTACCAGGTACGTTGTGCCTCAGTGTACAACTCCTCACCCACCGGCCATCACCGAACCCCTGAGTGCCCATAAATATGGGTTTCTTCCACGCTGCTCTCGCCATTGCTAGTCGATGATATCACATCAGTTTCCGTCTTCTCATCCGAATACTGCACGCCCAGTCTGATCTTCTATGCACTCTACGTCGATCTCATACGGTCTGTGTAAGCATATTGCGTTTCTCCGTTTGCCGCTGTCAAAAACGAAGCCGAAAACCGCCGTTTATCAAGATTTAACTTCATCCTCAATGCGAATTGCCGCTTTGACTCCTACCTGCATCGCATCGCATCGCATCGCAGCGCGTTGCATTGCATATCTTGAGTGACCTGTACAACATGACATCGCCGTCGGGGTGCCGAAACCGCACGCCAAGCATGTAGGTCCATGATGATCGCAATTGGTGATGCTTTTCGTCATTGGTACTGTTGATAGATATTGATAAGTTATTTCAACGCAGATTTTGAGACTTCGTAGAGGCTGAAAATGCTGGTGGCTGGATGGCGACGGATAGGGCTGAGTCGCTAGTACATCTGCGGTTAGGTCGGGGATGACATAAGCCCGATAAGGGGATATGTTGCGGGGATGTCATGGTGGGATGTTCCGATCAGCGGGACACCGTCTAGCGCGCAAGTTGTCGTTCGCAAGGCGTCGTTGACGTGTGGCCTTTCTTTTGCGTTCCTGCATCTCGAAGACGCCTTCACACTTGTTTTTTTCGAAGAGTGTGGCACGTTACACCATGATGCTCGGTTTGTCGTTCTCCGCCTTGGGTATCCTTGTCCCAGTTCTCCTCATCGTTCAAGTGCTTATCAGCTATGTCCGCAACCCATTGCGCAAGGTTCCCGCTGCACACCCACTGGCGCGTTTTACCTCAATGTGGATGCATACAGTTCGCTGGCGGGGTATCGAGAACGCGACATTGAAAGCAGCTCACGATCGCTTGGGCCCGATTGTGTGTTTGGGTCCCAACGAGATCAGCGTGAACTGCGTCAAAGGCGGGATCAGAGATGTCTATGCCGGAAGTTTCGAGAAAAGCAGTGCCAAGGATGGGTATAATTGGTATGGTTTCTTTTCGAATTATGGAGGGTGAGCACAGTCACGAGATCGACCGTGCGTTTATTGACTCATCGCAGAGTTGACAACATGTTTTCCACTGGCCGCAACAAGCCGCATTCGCAGAGAAAGCGAATGCTGAGCAACATCTACAGCAAATCAAACGTCGCTGCAAGCGAAGCGCTGTTAGGTCAAACGTCTGAAATCCTCTATAGACGCTTCTTGCCCTATCTAGAGTCGACATTTGCCGAGTCTGAGAAGGGCGTTCTGAACATCTATGCATTGCTCAGCGCAACGACGATGGACATTGTGACGTGTTTCATTTTCGGGCTCAAGGCAGGCTCGAACCTAATCGATGACCGAAAGCAGCTCGCATGGTTTTTGGAATTGTACAATTCACGACGATCCTACAACTTCTGGCCACAGGAGTTCCCGCGATTTACTAGCTTCGTGGAGAAATGGCTAGGCTACCGACTGACGCCAAAGTGGGTCGATGAGGCAAACGGTGAGATCGAGAAGTGGACGGCGAGTATGTGCGATGATGCTGGTGCTGTCTCGACAGTAGGCGACGCACGGACTGAGGACCGGCCTGTGGTGTACCAACAGCTTCAAAACAGTATGGCAAAAGCGACGAAGGGGGTCGGGGACGACACACTACAGACTCAGATTGCGAGCGAGGTGTTGGACCATCTTGCGGCAGGGTTTGACACGTCTGGGATAACACTGGTCTATGTTGTTCATGAGCTCTCGCGACACTTGGAGGTTCAGGCCCGTCTCCGGGCTGAACTGCTCGGTCTATCACCGCAGCCTGTACCTTCGTCCGCACCAAAGCTGCCGGACGCGAAGACTGTAGACAACCTACCCTTCTTACATGCAGTCATCTGGGAGACGCTCCGTCTCCACTCAGCCATCCCCGGCCCACAACCACGGTTCACGCCACAGCAAGGCTGTCAACTCGGCCCTGAAGAGGCGTCGTACCATATTCCAGGTGGGGTAAGAGTGAGTGCAAGCGCAGGCCTATTGCACCTCAATGAGGAAGTGTTCGAGCGCGCAAACGAGTGGAGGCCAGAGCGGTGGCTGGACTTGGACAAGCTAGACGAGGAGAAACGGAAGGATATGGAGAGCCGATGGTTTTGGGCCTTTGGAAGGTCAGTACTGCTCGTCGAAGCATGTTGAACTCTGACACTTACTCTGCGCAGTGGCGGACGCATGTGCGTTGGAAGTCACTTGGCGATATATCGTAAGTGCTGATCCTTGATACTTCCTTTTTCTATGTGGACAGCCCTCATGCTAGCCCCACTTCCAAGAAAATGGTCGTAGATGTTGACTGAATTGCAGAGATGAAGTACATCATTGCTGTGCTGTATTCAAATTACAGCACCACGATCGTTGATGACGCAGGTATCGAGCAGATAGATTCGTATACTGCACCGCCCAAGAGCGACAAGCTCCTGGTAAGACTTGAGAAGATGGTGTAGTAACGAAGCTTGCGTGGCTGGAGGCTGTTACCTCAATTGTTAGACATGTTTGGACCCTGATCTCCAAGGCCGAAGAAGGAAGGAAGCAACTGCCCCGCCGCACGTGCGGCCATATCTTAGCGGAAGTCGCAATGGGAAAAGCATGTACATTGCCGGTAACCGTACGGCGAATTTTGAGTGTGGCCGGTTCACGCCGCTGAAGACGCGAACCATGGTAGAGCTGTGGGAGCTACACACTATCAAGCCAATCAACAACCATAGATGTATGCGCTACGTGGAGAACGCTGCATGAAAATTCTGAGGAGGCGGTGAACTCATGTTCATCGTGCTGTGAAGACACAAGCACTTGAAGAGGCGTCTGTCAGTGCTCCGGTATGCTTCTTGTTTCATCAGGACGAGATGGGAGTCTGCTTGTTGATCTGCTTCTTCAGTCAACATGTCTGCATCAGCCTCTGCATCAGCTGCATTGAACCAGCTACCTTGCTAGCTCGAGGCAAAGTCACTGTAGTTCTGCCACAGGTTCCAAAGCCAATGACGCTCCGGAAGCTTTGCTCGCTCGACACCGGTCATGCAGCAACCCTCTGTCCAGGGATCATGTCCTTTTGCGCAGCCAGTAACATCTGTCTGCCTACATCATACCCCCTTGGCTCGCATGAGGCCCACACATCGCACGCTGAGTTGAACAGCTCGTTGTGCGCTGATCGCCGATTCCTGCTTGGAACAGACTCCCGGGGCAACGTGTGCATGATACAATAGTGATCAGATTGACCTGACAGGCGGTGAAATTGCTGATGTATCGTGAGCCTGAATTGCTTGTGCGAAGTAATCGATGCGCATGGCGGGGTGATTGTGGAGAACTGTGACCAACGCGCACAGCAACAAGCACGGGGTTAGAGTTACTGTGGATCTGGATCTGGCCGCATACGAGGGGTAGTCCAGCCGGCTGTTCAAAGGTTGCGTTGCCAGGGCAGGCGAGTGCAGCTCTAGTACAACCTTCGGTCAAGTGCCGTGTCATTCAGGACTGATGCGATAGATATTAGACAAAGGTGTCTGGCTCGAATCTGTGATGCCTCTCGGTGTCGCAGGACGGTAGTTAGCGCTGACCGATGCAGGCAAGAAGGTTCTTTGTTGCCACAGCGGATCAAGAATACTTTCCAAGTCTTTTCGGGCTACTAGCAGAGATCTTCCGCTGCGAGTACTGCTGGTGATCAAATAACCTGACATACCTTCCTGCATCCGCCGTAGCCACAGAAGGTGCCGTAGTTAGTTTACAACGGACATCGTGCCAACACTGGCTCGCCAACTTTCAAAGACAGAAAAGGAATGTTCAAGTGCTTATCGACTGACCGCCACGATGCAAACTCATCTCAAATCACCAGCAAGTGCATGATCTGTACAGATCAAGCCTGCTGATGCTAGCCAGTTAGTCAAACGCACGAGGGATGTAGTTGCAGCAAGCTGTCAGATCTTTGTCACGAGAGTATACTATGGCTGTTAGTGCGTAGCTCTGCGAACCAGACGCGTTCATGTTCTCATCGATCACCTTTGTGCGGCAGTTGTGAACGTGGCTAGGGCGCCTAAGACTTATTGCGTCCGCTGCGTACGGCTCAGCGGAATCAGGAGCCTAGTAGCGATTTGTTCCAAGATGAGCCCACTGTCTGTGCAGGCGAGATCTCGGATCCAACAACGCAGGGAGGATGCCCACGAGGTCTTTGTGATAGCAGTCATCGCACACACCCCACATCAGCATGAGGGGCCCGCAACCGTGAATGTAGGCGCTGTAGAGGTTTCCGGTCTTGCACACGGCTGAATGTGCCGCTCAATTGCAGGTTGAGGTGCGTGTAATAAAGCGCGAGGGCAGTCCTCCTCTTTGCGCGTGCGGTCCGACTCAACATGTGGGTGATATTCCAGAGTGCAGCACTGGCTAGTATCGCAATGTTCGGCGACGGTGAACCTCATCGCAGCCCGTGACGGCACTCAATGATGTCTGGACAAGTCTGGAAAGACCGAGCCTCCGCCAGAGTAAGCGAAAAAGTAAATTAAGCGCATACAAGACCGATGTTGGGACAATATTTGCAACATATCCAGAGGGCCAATAGCGGGAAGCACTCGTATCCTGCAGGAACAGCGGCATGTCGGCGCACGGAGAGTAAGACAAGACATAGGCCACGAGGGAAACGCGCCGGGACAATGAGACGATCAGTCGTAGAGGCGCAACAAGCAAGCTCCTAGCAGTCAGATCATCGTGCCTTGACGACTGCGACGGTTACCTGGCGATGGTGACCCGGGAAAGGCGCGCTAAGGGCATGGTTGGCTATAGCGCTGCTGTCAGAGGTGGATTGCCGAGCTGAGGGTTTCGCAAGAGGCCCGCGGACTGCCCACTCGCTGGGTGTTTGTGGCTAAAGGGGTGTTGTACGGGGGTGTGGATGACGGTGTAACATCGTAGAATTTCTTTCATCAGGAGAACGGAGCATTCGGCGGTCTTCGCTTGAAATCGAACTACATCCCTGCAGAAATCCTCCCAGCCACCGCACGATTTGACGGCGATCATCCTCCCCACATGCATCTTCATAGCCTCCAAACGACATCACCCGCCTCAGCCCGACGATGTGTATGCACCATGCGTCATTCCTCCTTTCGTTATGCAACACCCAATGGGGACACTTGATGCGCGGTTCCACGTCCGTTCCAGGGCCGATTGACGACAGGAACCACACCGGGCACTACATTGCAGCGTGCGTGCCGTCCACTGCAGTGATACCGACTGCGGAGTGGGTGTCCTAGCTCGATGGTCCTGTCAGTTTAGCCCTCGAGTCCTGAAGCACGTTCCCGATCCGCCATGGTGCGCCGTCGGGAAGAGCGTGACAGCCGCCATGTGTGTGGACGTGTTCAGTACCACTGCACTCGCCTGCGAGTGGTCCCGACGGTTATGTTGGGGTCCGTTCAACTAACTCGAGAGCTCTGTGCCTCTGAGCTACGGATCAGAGGAACCGTAGCAACCAGGCCGGCGAACGGCGTGATGCTGAGATATTGGGCGTCGATGGGGCATTATATACGACTTCTCAAGTAGAGTAGTTGAAATGGCTAAATTCCGAGCATCTCTGTGAGTGCCTACAGGCATGGGGCTCTTCCGTCGCATGCAACCGGGTCCCCCGTTCGATGCTCTTGGATAGTGCCCTCCCAACCCTAAACCTGGGATTGCCGTTGATTCCAAGCCGTCTTGCTATCCTTGCTCTGCTGCCGCACAGTCTGTGCAGCTAGGTCTGCCATCCGGCTGCATGGGACACCCTCGCTCTGGCAGTGCCTTCTAGCTCGAAATCAATCCTTGGGCACTCTTCGGCTTCATTTGAGAGTGCTGTGAGCATATACAACAGTCGCCGCACTACGGCACAGTATCTGCGACCAGCTTGCCTTCTTGTACCTCGTCCCGCCGTGCCGCACTCGCACGCTTACACATGCACCATTCGGCTGCACAAGCTCCCACCTCCATCGCGAACCCGGTATTACGCTGAGTATTTACCGTCCTGTCGTTTTCGATTGTACACTCGACGTCATTAGCAAACGCATCAACCACATCGCAGACAGCTTCGGACTTGACCAGGCGCAAGAGCAAAATCAACCAGGACTGTGTCAACAAGCGAAAACCTTAGCTCCCAGAGGAACCGTGCCTACAGAAGAAGAAACAAGCCCAGACGACCTTCCATTGGCCGCACTAGAGCTTGTTCGCATGATTCACGCCGCCGCTCGTTCATCTCTTAGCACGCTAGTTCGGAGAGACCCTACAGCATTGATCGGCCGCGCTCGGCACCAGTTGCTCTTGAGACTAGACAGAGAGCGACGAATCATAGTCGAAGCCGCCACGGAGCCGTACGACGACTGTAGAGGAGCCCCGATTGAGACGAGTACTTCGAGGTACCCTTGCCAACTCTTCTATCTTGCGCATTACTCTTGTGCGTCTTCCTTCTTGAGCCACGGGACACCGCTCTCGAGGCCCTCTCCTTCTCTCTCTGGCATTCACTTCTCATCTCACGCTTTTGACAGACTTCTCTAATATTACCCTGCCGACACGTCATCGCTGCTTGACTGGTCGACCAGCACGACACTAATATCATCGAAGCCGTTAGAGACGGCCCTCTTTGTTGTCATATTCGAATATTCTCTACTACGGATCGGTACCAAACCTGAGTAACCTCGAGCTCAATCGAACAGCTCCCACTCGAAATACGGCAGGTGCTATGCCTTTGGGCAAAACCGCGAAAAGTACAGTCTTCTACAAACCCGACACTGCAAGTTCTGGGCGACGCAGGTGCAACACTCTTTGTTGTTGTTGATTATACGTGCGCCACTTCCCGTTTGAAAACTACGGTCCAGTGTGGAGCAGACCATCTCTCCGCAGGCGGGCCTTTAGCTCGGTCCCGTTAAGACGAGAGCCAGATCCACTCCCGCGCAAGCCATTCGCATATCGAAGCCGTCCAGAGGTGCCTTCATCTCCAAAAACGGCGGCATAGAAATACGCATTACTATCACCGGTGCTTAACTGGATCGTTGAGAGCAGGCAGTCGCGCTCCGCCACAGTTTCTCCGAAAAAGGGCCCAGCACCCATGGTTACGGTGGTCCACACGCACTTTCATCGCTCATTACCACCACTATTACTGGACACGCAGGAGTTTGGACGGTACAGTGTCTCCACAGAGATTCTATCCTTTGTCCGATAAGCTGCATTGCCCGCATCATCACCACTAATACGGCAAGCAGGGCCTTTGGACTTTGGACGGTACAGTGCCTCCGCAGCCACTCTACCCTTGGTTCGATAGGCCTGACCTTACGCATTAATCACACACTCCGCTAGCGGGATGGAATAAGTTCCCAAATGTTTTTACGAATTCTCGACCATCCTACTTCATTCCACTTCCATATTCTTGGGAGTATCTAAGATTCTCTGGGAACCACTACCACGATCGTCCAGCTCTACTATGGAGCGCCGGACTATGAACACGATG